GCACATTGCTAAATATTCATAATCTGTCTGTTTCATTAATTAGCAGCTTCATCTGCAGATTATTTTTTTTGTCCTTTTAGAAAAATGTTTTTTGTACACTCCAAGGGTAATGTGCTCACAACAACCTTGGGATCAGTTTGGTTGAAGCAGAAAGACTGACCAAAAATCAGCTAGGAATTTGGGTCACCCCCCAGAGAACTGAATGGGAATGGGAGCACTGCATGCAACTGGACATGCATGATTGTGTGGTGCCTGCTGGGCCCTTATTTCACAATCTGTGCATTTCTTGTGGCTGAAAAAAATTGTCCATCCACACACTATACCACGTTAGCTCTCCATACAGTGTAGAAATACACACTACCAAGATTGGCCATGTTAGTAATTTTTTAACCCCTGTGGCCATCTTTAGACGTGAATTTCCGAGCTCAGGTATTTTTCTCCTTTTTGTTTTCGGTGTTTGTTTTCCCATCTGCTCTTAAAATGCTGTAAGGCAAGAAGAAACCAGCTTCTTAATAGGTATGGCTTTTCCACTGACATGATTACATTAGAATTCCATGAAGCCCCATAGATATTATGGTTTCCTTACGGCTGTACTTGCCATAGAAAAGAAATATTTGTGAGGGAAGAAAGGAGAAAGAAAGGCTCTGGACTGGTCAAAGTACATATTACACAAGCTATAAGCAGTTCACATACGTTTCTGTACACAATTTAAACAGCTTCCAGGGAAGGGCTCAAACAGCATGTGGACTGTCGCACATCAGAAATACATTAACTCTTTCACCTGCCATAGACCTGACAAAACTCAATCAATCAATCAATCAATCAATCAGAAGAGAACTGGAAGGGACCTTGGAGGTCTTCTAGTCCAACCCACTGATCAAGCAGGGGATCCTATACCATTTCAGAGGTTTTCTTAAAACCTCCAGTGACCCACAGCTTCTGAAGGCAAGTTTTTCAACTGATTGTTCTCACTCTTAGAAAGTTTCTCCTTAATTCCAGGTTGCTTCTCTCCTTGATTAGTTTCCATCCATTGTTTCTTGTCCTACCTTCTGGTGCTTCGTCAAATACTGGAATACTGCTATCGTGTCACCCCCTAGTCCTTCTGTTCTCTAGATTTTCCATACCCAATTCCTTCAATCATTCTTCATATGTTTTAGTGCATAGAAGAGCATCTTAGTTGCTCTTCTCTGAACTTTTTCCAAAGTCTCAACATATCTTTGTAATATGGTGACCAAAACTGGATGCAGTATTCCAAGTGTGGTCTTACTAAGGACTTATAAAGCAATATTAATACTTCACTTCCCCTCCTAGTGCTGCTAAGCCTCAGGTCTGAGCACCCATGGATGCAAAGAGAGTGAAGGACATAATGTTATGTACAGTATAGTGAGTGGGCAAGGAGATAGTTGTATTGTTGCTTGTAAAAAGTAAAAGTAAAAAGGGAGGACTGTTAATGATAGTATAAATGCTTGCATTTGCTCTTTTCTTCTGTGTTATTATAAACTTGGGGCCATGGGATACAGTAGCTATTTATTAGTTTTTCTGAGACATTGGATTGTTATTTCACATAATAAGAAAGCTGGCTTTCCAGGATGAATCTGACTTTTGATCACGTTAGTTCTCCACTGTTCTCTACTTCTTCAGGTCCAGCCACAGTAGCTGAGTGGCAAATTGGTAGGACATCTTCTGTCTCAAGCAGCAGGCCCATCTTCACAAGCATTGTATTACAATAGCAACAGCAATAGCATTTAGACTTATATATCACTTCACAGTGCTTTACAGCCCTCTCTAAGCAGTTTACAGAGTCAGTATATTGCCCCCAACAATCTGGGTCCTTATTTTATCGACCTTGGAAGGATGGAAGGCTGAGTCAAACTTGAGCCTGGTGAGATTCGAACTGCCAAATTGCAGGCAGCTGACAGTCAGCAGAAGTAACCTGCAGTACTGCATTCTAACCACTGCGCCACTGCAGTTAGATTTCTTTTCAGCAAACTGAGGCCAAAAAGAAGCTGTGTATGTGAGGGAGGGGCTGGGGGAGGGAGGGAGAGAGAGAGAGACACAGAAAGAGAGAGAATCAAATGCTATGACACAGTTTTGTTCTATAACAAGCGAATATCAACATAAGCTGTATCTATTATTTTCAACACTGTGAAAAAACAATCTGTTCCAAATCCTCTTCTATGCATCTAGCAAACACAGGAGATCTTAATTATTTCTCCAAAATGGCTGGTCTAGTTAATCTTCATCAGAACAGTTCTAGATATTATAGGATTCTAATTTATTTAGCAGGCACCTGTCAAATCTAACCCTATCCAGTTTGTAAAATGGCTGTCACCCTTCTATGTGAGGTACACCGAAGGTTTGGATCTGGCTTTTTCAACAGTTTTCAACAGTTACTCAGTGTGAACAGAATCTTATTGCCATGCTTCTGGAATTTCTGTCTGTCCCCAAGTGACATCCTGATTCCACAGTCCATTTGTACAAAGTGCCATCTGCAAAGTTAGTCCTGGTGTCAACAAGTAGAAGCAATGTGAGTCACAAAGCAATTAAGCTCAAGAAATGGTGAAGTGTTGACTGCATTGTGTCCCAAAGACACCAGTGCCAGCTGCTTCACGTGCTATCTCAAACCATCTTTCTATGTTTGCTGTTCTTAGATGGGGGCTTGTCAGCCTGGGGACAGTCATAAAGCAAGATTAGAAACCCAGAGTAACTAATTGTTTATGACTCACTGTCCTTGGTCTTTGGCCCTAAGAAAGCAGCCCTTCCCTTCTCTTCATTTTCCTCGGCTGCCCCCTTGTTAAGATGTCAACAGTCCAAAAGAGCCCCATATCCCGAGCTCCTTTAAGGCAAAGTAAACTGGTTTAAAATGTGACATGAGTGTAACAAAGATTTAAACGTTTCTTTCATGTGTGTGAAAGCTGCACATTTTTTTCCCCAAAAATAATGTTTGCAAAAATTGACAAGAAATGCATTAACATTAGTAGAGGCAGATTATGGTTAGTCGGAGGATCAGACAGATGTTTAAACTGGATTTGGCATTTTTATCCACACATTGAGTCCTTCCCAAGGTCTGAGATAGCCAGATGTTTTATTTTTATTTACTTACTTATTTGTTTGTTTGCTTGTTTATTTGTTTCCCACCTCATGATTCAAGGTGACTCTGAATTGGCTTGATGTTGTGGTTCAATGCAGGGGTGAAATTCACTTACCTTCCTACCAATTCACAAATATGCGTGTGCCACATGCGCAAAGCCTTCTGCGCAAAGCCTTCTGCGCATGCGCAGAGACTGAAAATCATAGCAAAAAAGGAACATCATGACATCCGCGTGGGTGGGCGGAGCTTCCTGCAGCCGCTGCTACAGGTTCGCCCAACCGGATAGAACCGGCTGAATTTCACCCCTGGTTCGATGGTGTTAAAGGTATTGTTGCAGGATGTAAATTGTTGCAAGTAAAGTTGCCTTTTGGAATTGACTAATGATGATTTTGTCAATGTTGATGATGTTTATTATTATCATGGTTACATTACTATTAGTATTATTACATAGTATGCTATGAAGTCATTGGCATCATTGCTGAGTGCCTGCAGCTAAGAACAGATTTCGTTCAAATGATATATAGTTCTCAGTAATCACACCTAATCAAAATGATTAGTTGATAACTTTCAGAAAATAAAAATAAATAAGAAAATGCATGAATAATTTATTATAGTTTTTTTTAATTTTCTGTATATTTAGAACGTACTGGTTATTTACAGAGCAAAAATTCAGCAAAACAAATCCAATCTATCTCAGCAAACTTTTTTACATGTATATAATCTTAAAATGAGGAAACAATTGGAAATAGATCTTCCTTGCACCAGTCCTTTAACGTGGGAGAAACAAAGGAGTTGAAAGAAATTTTAGTAGTAGTTTAATTAAACCAATTCAAAGAAGTGAACCAAAAGAAACATAATGAATTGATATTGATACTCCAAATATAATAGACTAAACTTCAAATATGAAACAAAAATATTCAACAAATATTTCCTTTGAAGAATAAATGCATTTATTCTTAGCTTTTAGCATGCTAAGCCATGGAAGTCCTCGTTTATTACTGAAATAGATATGTTACCAAAATCTCCTGCTTATACGATAGTAACACAGATATGAAACATTTCAAAGGCATTTAATAATTCAAGTCTAATAATTTGTAGCATTAAAAAATATACTTTCCCTTACTACTAAGAGTATTTATCATGCTCTAAATTTAAAAAGGCATATGGTCACATTTCTCAGCCCAACCCACCTCACAAGGCTGTAGTTGGGAAAATAGGCAGAAGTATTATGTACTCCACCTTGTACAAAAATAAAGATGTTATTAGTTATTTAGACAGGATTTGGCATTTTTATCCACCTATTGCACTCTAACTAATGAGCCATGGTGGCGCAGTGGTTAGAATGCAGTATTGCAATCTAGTTCTGCTGACTACCAGCTGCCTGCAACTTGGCAGTTCTAATCTCACCAGGCTCAAGGTTGACTCAGCCTTCCAGCCTTCCAAGGTTGGTAAAATGAGGACCCAGACTGTTGGGGGAAAGATGCTGATTCTGTAAATCACTTAGAGAGGCCTGTAAAGCACTGTGAGGCGGTATATAAGTCTAACTGCTATTGCTATTGAGTCCTTTTGGACCGAGGACAGGCAGACATTGTTGCTTATTTGTTATTTATTCAATTTATATGCTGCCCATCTCCCTAATAAGACAACCCTGGGCAGCGTTGTTTGATGATGTTGTATCATTATTTACTCCTTCCTCACCTCCAGACTTCAAAATAGTACTTCAATGTACTTCATAAAAAAGATGGAAAGGCAATCACAAATATCCAGAAGATTTTTTTTTAATTATTTAGGTTTATAAAACTACCTTAAAAACACATGCAAACAAGACAAACCTAAGCAGGCATAATGAAGAAACATAAACATGCTTTTGTTACCAAGTTCTGCAAGTTGAGGAAAAAGAGTAAGGCAGTCTACAAGAAGAAAGCAATTAGTTCAAAGCCAAATATATATCAAGAGGGTGAAAGAAAGTCATCCAATCAGCTACAGATAATCCTCAATTTATAGGAGACCTGGTAGTGCAGCAGACTAAAGCACTGTTAACATCAGCTGCCTGCAATTACTGCAAGTTCAAATCTCACCAGGTTCAAGGTTGACTCAGCCTTCCATCCTTTCTAAGGTAGGTAAAATGAGGACCCAGATTGTGGGGGCAATAAACTGACTTTGTATAAAATATACAAAAGTATGAAGGCTATTGCTTAACGCATTGTAAGCTGCCCTGAGTCTCCAGAGAAGGGCGGCATATAAATCAAATAAAAAAAAAATTACGACTTTCATTTAACAAGGGTTTGAAGTTACAATGGACTTGGGAAAAGTGACTTACTGTAGGACTGGCCTTGAAGTTATTACCATCACAACATCCCCATGGTCACATGATCATGGAGGAAGCAGACTTACTTAATGACTTTCTTAATCACTACTAGTTTAATTTCATTGGCTGGGTTCACACACCATGTTAAGTCATAATGTGGTTTGCTTATTTAATAATTTAGTTTGTGAACAGGTAAACTCTGCCACTGTAGCTTGCCACCACTGCTGATTGTGTAAACTCAAGTCATTGTGGTCTGCCACTGGTGCTTGTTCAACAAACCAGGCATTAATGCAATGGGTGAATCCAGCTAATGTACATTTTCTACATCTCTGCTGCATGTAATGGTTGCTATTAGTGGCACTCAACCAAAAGTGTGAGGGGGGAATAAATTGATTTTTTTTTTTGAGAATTCCATTTTGAGGTTATCAAAATGTCAGCTATAATCACACAAAAAAGATGCTCACATTCATTTTAAAGAACTGGTGAAATTGTCTGCAAATTTGATTAGAGTACTGATAGCAGAGCAAGTCAGTGAAAAGTGGAGTCCTGGTCTTATTGATTCATTCTGCTCCTTTCTTCATATAGGGAAATCATGATTGAGTTCCCACATTGTGGGAAGGTATTGTTTTAATCATGCTTCTTAAATAAACATAGTGGCCTAGTTGGCACATAATATTATGCTGTATAGTATATTTACAAACCCCCACAATGATTGGATTTACACATATGAAGTGCACTGCAGTCATTTTTACCAGGTAGACCAGACAGGAAACACAACCAGATAAACTAACTCTACTTTATTGTAAAGCTATAGAACAGAGTCTTGCAAGTCTGAAAGTAAAATTCTCCCATGGTCTCCTTTACAGCCTGAAAAACTGAGGTGGGTCCCTTCTGAGCATCTTGCTCCACCCACTAAGCAGCTACAGGCTATGCTGTCTCTTATCTGACCATTCTCCAGGCAGAATCTTTTTCACTCGTCACCCACTGTCTTTCCCACATACCATTAAAATTGCTGACCATGATGATGAAGCACACTGAGTTCCTATGTTTTACAGCCAGGAAGCTTTAGGGCAGCCTTTCTTCAAGACTACCCTTGATGATATAGGGCTGCAGATGCCAGAATCTTCACCAGCACAGGAATATAAATCCTCCTGCTGAGGTAGTAACAGATAAATCATACTAGCACTGATGATGTTACCTAGTTTGGGTAATGAAGTGTCTGCATGGAAACAAGCAAGCTCAGAAAGCATCAAGGGCCCCTCAGATAAATCTCTTGCTAAGTAGGATGGCAATCCAAGGTCTTATCATCAACCCCAAAACCTTGTGCAGGAACATGGTAGGAGGAACTAGGAAAAACATGAGTCTATAAGCTAAGGGTCTCAACCGACAGATGTCTTTGATGTGGAATATATGCATGGGTAAATTTTTCAAGAAAACAATGTGGGACTTTTGGCATTCCAAGAGACCCCGTTTTGTGGAAACCAATAACTGGCTTCCTTCCCCCTCTTGAGGACTTTGGCTAGTTTTTCACCATCTTGATTGTCATGTTCTTTTCTACCTGTATCTCTTGCCTCCTTAGCCTTTAATATGACTTTAGTTCCTAATGCTATACATACCGTATAGTATGTAAAACCGGGGCTCAGTTTCTATCATCTGACCTGACCTATAATTTGGGTTGAAATAAGTCACTTGGCTCCTGCCTTTTTGACCCACATAACAAGGCCTGAGTAATGACCAGAGGCTGACAAAATATAATTTAATAATTAATTAAACTTGTGAATCACTTGACTCTATAATTCTGATCCGGATCAGATGAAGATTCAGATATATATTTTTAAGTATTCTGCTTCCTTGTTTCTTTCTTCCCAAACACCCATGCTTCCTCCCCCGTCTGAGACAACAGCAAGTCTTTCTCTAATAGCAACAGAGGCCTATTTGGTTTTAACTCCTAGGAATGAGTTGATTATATTTGTCCAGTAGAGTAGCGTATAGAAAAAGCTACTGGGTTCCAGTGTTGAGAGTCCGACAAGTAAGTTTGACTCTCAGGGAAATCCATATCATTCTGGGTACGTTAGTCTGGAGATGTAATGGAAAGGCTGAGTTCAAGGCATAAATTCTTCCTTGATAGTCATTGGTGAGGTGGAAACTAGATTGGTGGTGCTGCTGCAGATGCCGCCTATAGGGCCAGGAGTGCCAACCGCTGGTGGGGTAGGTGTGGTTGTACTGGCCGGCTGCGTTTGCTGCTGCATCTTCTTCTTGTTCACTTTCCTCTCCTTTGCTCGCCGATTCTGGAACCAGATTTTCACCTGCAGGGACAAATGAAGGCAGTAAGATTAAGGAAGAGTTTAGGAAAACAGTTCCTCTTAATCTATCATAGTTTACCGTTAATATGATTGGTGAAGCGGTTACATATTTTCACAGAGGAACAGAATGGATTTTTAGATAAATATTGCAGAGAAATTGCTTTGCAAATACTGAAATATGAATGCACTTTTATTCATATAATAGTTCAGGGAGCAATTAAAATGAGAATCAAGCAAATTCTTCATGCTTATCTAAAAATCCATTCATTTATTTCCAAATGAATATAAATTTTTGTATGTATGATACAAATATGATAGTCAATATCTTGAATATTTACCCTGGCAGCTCTGCTTAATAAGCCTGTGTAATTTAAAAATGGGGTGATGGTTTGCACCTGGAGGAGTCTCTGCAACACTCACCTGCCGCTCAGTGAGTCCAAGGGCTGCTGCCAGCTCTGCTTTCCGACGGATGGTGATGTAGCGACTGTAGTGGAATTCCTTCTCCAGTTCCAGCCGCTGGTGGTCTGTATATACAACACGGTACTTGTCTTTTGTTCTGGTCTTGCCTAACAAAAACAAACAGTTGTACATGGTGTTAAATATCTAGATATAAAATATGTGAGGAAATTGATGGCCATAATAATAAGGACAGACGGTATGAGTGTGAAAGAGGAGGAGCTAGGGGAAATCATGAGAGGAGCGGAGCGGAGCGGAGAGGAGAAAGACTGCAACGATATGTTGTTTTGATAGTGGATACTCACTTTCTGAAAATTAAGGACCATACATTTTGTTTTCATATGTATATCTCCCTTTCAAACTATGATTCAGTTAAATCAAAATTAAGCAATTCTGTTTTATAAAAATTATTATCAATGAGATTTAAAACTGTTGCATTGTTAAACCTTCATTATTAATAGTGAGGAATTTGAATTCATCCCAGGCTGTTCACCTGCCTATGACATGTTTTTATTTCTTTTATCCTTTATTTGTATCTCACCTCGTGCTAATTCTCACATGCTATTTCCCAGTGCTATGATTCTGATATTCCCTCTAGCTGTGCCTTATTAATTTTACTTCAATTTTTCTCAAAAAATTTTTAAAAAAGTAACAGACTTTGAAGATGCAAATAAAATGACTACTGACGCTTCTGTTTTGGGGTTTGGAGAAGACTCTTGAGGACGCTGTGGACAACTAAGGGAACAAACAACTGGATCATAATACAAATCAACTCAAAGTTCTCACTCAAGGCACAAATGACCAGAGTCAATTCATCCAACTCTGGAAACAATATGTGAAGACCTTGCTCTCTGGACAAAGCTCTAATGCTGGGAAGGATGGAAGGAAAGAGAAGAAAACCAGGAGCAATTTTTCCCTACATTATAAGATTTAGAGCGGTGTTATTTTCCTTTTTAAAAACCTCAGGAGTGTCTTGAAACCACTATTTTTTCTTTGTTATTGATAGAAATAACAATAATGCAAGTTGGCATGCTGTTGCAGTTACATAACAACTGACACACAGAGAACTGAGTGTGTTCATTATTATTTATTATGCATACTGATAACAAAACAGAAGGCTTTCATCTCTTTAAACATTAATTGTCCCAGAAGCTCTTGAATCCTCTATTGAATTTGTTAGTATTTAAAACAACTTCAGATTAATTTTTTCACAACGTGGAATCCTATATTCCATTAACTCTCCAGTTTGAGTCTGTGAAGCCTTATTATAAATAACGTGCAATAAAAATACTCTGTATATCCTCATAAAAGACAAACATATAAAAGAAGCAGTACAGGTAGTCTCAGACATCATGACTGGGAAGAAGAGCTAACCGATTCTCCCCTTGGCCTCCCTATACAGTACAGAGGTCATGCAGCACCATCCCAAAGCAGGCACCATTTTAGAGCAGGTGTAATGAATTGTGGCTGCTCCCAAAATGGGCCCACTTCTGGAACAGCATGCCACGCAGCCTCCATGTAGGAAGGCCAGGACAGCGCCATCTACCTTCCATTTAAAAAGACTACTTAAGCAGATCAGCTGCTTGCCAAAAGAAATAAGGTGGACAGAATAAAATAAAAAATAAAAATAAGGTGGACAGAATTGCTATGGGTAGTAGGGAGATGGGGGTAGGACCCATTAGGGTGGGAACCAGGCCCAAGGCCTGGTACGCTGATCAGATAGATAGATAGATAGATAGATAGATAGATAGATAGATAGATAGATAGATAGATAGATAGATAGATAGATGATGGATGGATGGATGGATGGATGGATGGATGGATGCTAACTGAATGACTTCACCAACATTGACAATGTTCTTTATGCAGTTTCCATAACTTCAAGGAATACAAGCATTTCATAAAGTTGTCCTTGTATGCCATCATATTTTCCCAGTGTAATTTTCACAGCAAGGCAAATAACCTCACACAAAAGCTGTAAAATTTAAGCAAGACAGGAAAAGTAAAGTAATTGAAACAGATTTTGAGTAGGAAGGAGATTTCAAGCAAGAGGAACAAGAGATGCCCTGAAAAGAAATGAAAATACTCAGATCATATTAAAGGCTTATACTGTCATTCAGCAATATTTCTACTACAGCAACTTGTAAATATATATTTATATATAATCTTCACACATTCTAATTCAAGAATCAGTCCTTTTTAAAACAATACATATTTGTTAAAGATTAAAATGTTTAGGAAAACTAAGAGATATTTGTCTGGCAATAAAAAGAAAATATCATTGGTCTTTGATGTACCTACCTAGGATGGAGAATTCTACAAATGGGTGCAACAATCACTAATGTTTTGCTCGTTTCCAAGGAGATGTTCCCACTATTGAAAGGGTTCCAATATGTTCAAAGTATTGGCTCCAATTAATCCTAGCTGCTAGAAATCTTAAAACTGCATTACTCCTGCCAAAAAACTAATAAATGAAACTGTTATCCCTTTCCAAGACAGTCATACTTTCTACTGTAATATAAGCTCAGAGACGATGTTCTATATCATTGAATGAACCTGAATACTTTTGCATGTACAGTAAGTCAAAGCTGAATCTGAGAGCCATCCCAATAGAAAGCCTTATCCTTCAAGATGAATTAAGCCCCTGCAGAAAAGCACAGAAGAGATGCCCCTGAACCACCTACTCAAAAAAACAACAATCCCAAAATTGATAAAATAGCTAAATACACTCAATATACTTTATAAATGAAACAAACAAAATGTTTAAAAGTTATGATATTTACGTAGTTACCTACCAAGCACATCTAAATTATATTAAAATAACTAAAATACTTTTACAGTCCCCAAGGCATGTCAGAAGGTTTGAGCACCTCTAATGTTTGGAAATTGAAAGCTGAAAAATTAGATTTAAAAAAAAAATTAAATTTTTTTTTACCCTAATCTAATAGGTCTCAGAATCAATCATCAACATTTTTGTCCAGAACCAACATCCTGTGGGTAATGGGAAAGACCCTTGACTGGGACCACACACGCCACATATATACATATGTAACTGTTGGTGGGTTTTCTGCCATTAGGAGAAGAATTCATTAATTGCTCTCATTAAAGGACTGGGGAGGAAACAAGTTTTGACTGATAGCTAAACCATGGATTTATCCATCTATCGCAGGGGTTCCCAACTGGGGATGCGATACGATATTCCAGGGGGTGCAAAAACTTGGGTTTAGAAGTTTCAAAATTATAGTGTATATGTATATTATATGCATATCATTATTTATTTTTAAGGGGTGCGAGAATATATCAGAAGCATTCTAGGGGTGCGGGGTATAGAAAAGGTTGGGAACCCCTGATCTATTGGAACCTGATCCTTGAGGTGGGTGTGGATTTTCTGACTCTCCTGCTTCTCAACTGCCACTCATATTGTCGAATTAATACTGTAGGTCATTTTGAAGGGGTGTGTGAGTGAGGAAGGCTATCTGTTTACCCAAAGGCTGTTCTCTTCTATTTTATTGGGAAGTCCCCACCTATCTTTTAGATTACAAGATCCTTCTCACATTCTTTTTTTTTCTTTTATGATCTTTCTTGTGCCCAGTATGTTTCTCTCTTGCTCTCTCTCATTAGTCTATCTCAGTCCCTTGTTCATCACCTCCCTCCCTCCCTCCCTCCCTAGCTTTTTCTGTGTCTTTCTCTTATGCCTTGTCCTCTCTCATCTTTCTGTTTTTCACAATTTTGCTCTCTTTCTCACTGTCTTTTTTGCTCAGTCCAAATCAACAGATAGGATAATTGGCAGATGCTGGGTTCCTGCTTCACACAGCACTGCTCTTAAGCGAGTTATATTTTTTTTCACGTGCATCTCACACTCCTGCATTAATTTGACTTGAATAATAAGAACCCTGCATAATGCCTGACCAATGCTATGAAAAATAATTGCCCAATGCTTGATCTATCTTTCTCCCAAAAGAAAAGGGATAGTTTGCAGAAGCCAAAAGTTGCTGGGCAAATCCTAGCCCCTGCCACACCATCACCATGGTCTCCAATAGAGCATTGGAACTACACACATTCAATAGCTGTGTTGGGGAGAAATGGAAAACCCCTTTAACATTGGATCAGATAAATATGAAGTTAGAAAATTTCAGCTATGAGTAGGGATGAAACAAAGGTTGTATCTTGGTGGTATATCTTTAAAGAATGGCTAGCAAATGATCTTCCAGCCAGTGTTAAGAGGATATAACAAGTTTTGAGACTCCACTAGTGACTGCAAGCAATCAGGGGCTGTAATATTAAGCACCATTGCTCTGGAGAAGAATGCAACATAGACATGAAAGGCAAAAAAGGGATTTAAATGGCTGCTACTGTTCAGTCTAGTTTCAAATCTGTGTTACTGTATTAATATAGACTGGAAAACTTAGCCTTAGTTTATAACATGCCATTCCATTCAAGCTATTTTATATTTATTTAGCATATGGCATATCATATATGGACTTGCAATATATATATTTCCCCAAGATTAAAAACACAATATAATATGAAAGCTAAAAAGATCTATATTCAGATACCAATGTCTTGGCCATCTAACCATTGAAGCACGACATCCTTTATATGAAAAAAAAAAAATCAGATACTGAACCAGTATGTGCCCTCAGCTTACAGTTGGCCATGGTGTGATCTACAGTTTGATTTGGGACCCCACCATTGCACTGAGGGGAGGATACTATGCCCCATTTATACACTGAGTCCCGGCAGACACCATGTGAGGCACAAATCCTATTCTACATTGTCCATTGCTGGCATGGTAGTTCAAAGCCTGGCATCTTTTTCGTGGGGTCATTTATATGTCCTCCTGTATCTAGACGTTCAGCAACCCATTTGACTTTTCATTGGGAATCGATGTTAAAGTTGTAGAACAGATATTGTGCAAGTGCCAATGGGGGTTCCTAGATTTGAACCTTCCGGCTGATGCATGAGGAAGGTCGGCATGCACCAGAAGTAGTGAGCTGTTTATAATTTTTCTATATTCTCTCACTAATGCATATCGCCTTTGTAAAACTGGGAGTGATATATGATTCAGAACAGGAAGCCAGCAAGTCAGAGTGGTTTTATTACATCTGCT